TTGGAGAGACTGGAGTGGAAAATGGAGACACACGAGGTGGGCATACTGTCAAATCCAAGCTATTCTGCTTTCTATTTGTTTTCATTGTCACCATGCACATATAATTGGTACTGTAGCCCAAATCCACTTATTACTTTTGAACAGAGTAGAGTCACTGAAGGAATAAAACTCCCCTAAGTGTTCATTCACCAAATCCCCATTGGCATTAATACTCTGGTGTAACCTGGAGTGGTGAATAGTGGAAAATGAGTAAGTCCCTGGTTGAACTCCTAGCTGCACGCCCGTTGTGTGACTTGGCCTGTGACTAAGAATTCAGTCAAGAACATCTTAGTTAGTGGCTATTACTGCTCAGAGTTGCACCATTTCGGTAGCACCAATTCAACTATTCAGTTGAATTCTAGCCATTGTTTTATGGGTTCCACTCTAGCTGGGACTGATCACTGCATTCAGAACTATATTTTTTAACTGAGGAATCAGGATGCATTTTGGAAGAGTAGGAAAGGAATATGTGTTTTAATTGGCCTGCTGGTAGGTCTCCTTGGGTGAAATCTAGGCAAGGCACTGCATGGCATGGTTTTGTAGTGCTTGTTTCCTGGGAGTTGCAGGTGTTTCACCTTACCTGGAGACTGTTTTTACCTGTGAAGAACAGCCAAGGCCAGCTCTCAGGACTGATTACCATAAGATTCCTTATTAACAGTGTACCAGCCTGGGAACGAGAGACGGGAGCTGTGGAAGGTTACAAGTTGGGTGTGGAGTTGTGGACAAAGGATTGTATGTTGGTTGGATTCCATCATGGAGCAGAGATTTTAATTTAAGTTATACGTAGAAAGGGGGGGCTAAGTAAGTTGTTGGTAAGTGTGGGCATCAGTTGGAGAAGACAACGGGATGACAGGTTTACAGCCTTCATTGATGGGTTGAAGACTTAGTCATGGTAAATTAGAATAACCTAGTCATTATGTAGTAAAACTGTTAGTTAATCATTTTATTATTTTATGGGAAAGTCATACAGGAGCTTACTTAATACTTAGATGCTTGGCATTTGACCAGTACGATTTGTATCTTTTTGTATTTCTTTTGTTTTACAACTTTTTACTCTTTTAAATATTCTATATATTACCCAAGTGTGATTCTTGGGGGCAAGGGTGTGAGTGCCTAAAGAAAGTGCCTTAGCCCTAAGGGCTATGTTTGCTATTTTTATTATTATTTGGGTGTCCTACCTGGTCAGGCTGGTGTACAAGGTTCAAAGTACACAGCTGAAGAGTTTTAAGCTTAAAGAAGGGAGGAATTGGAAATCTAGGGACAGAAGCTTGCCCGCCGTTGCCCACTCACACACCTCCTAGATCTCACCCAGCCTGGAATGAAAAGGTGGTGGATGCTGGGAATGACAATTTGGCTCCTTCCAAAGGAGACCCATTCTAGACAGCAGCCACTGAACTGATCAGACACTGCAGACGGTGGAGGCTGCCAACTCTGATCTCATGAGTGGTCGTAAATCGTGAACTTAAAAGACTAGGGCTAATGGGGTCTAACACCCATAGACTTAGAATTAACATCTAGAACAAATTCATCATCCTTGGGAGCCTGGGATCTTCAGCCTCTACGACCGTCATACAGCTGAACAGAGGAGAAGATTGAGCAGGATGCTGCTTAGTCTACAGACACCAAGAAGACCTCTTTATTTGCTGATCCCCCCACTTTCCCTCTGAGCTCAGCTCCCAAAGAGACACAATCCCTGTTCCTTATAATCTGGAAATCCTGGGGAACACAGATCCTAGACTTCTACCTTATATCGAATTGCTGGCTTTGAATGAAAAGGCCCCTTTAAGGTTGTAGTCCTTTAAAGTTCAGGCTGAAGCCAACAAGGGATTCCTCACTAACCCACAAAGTGGGAAGGAAGGCAGGATTCCACTTACCTGATAGATGTTGTTAGCCTCATTGGAGCTTTCTGGTTTGCCCTAAATAAAACAAAATAAAAAGATGAAAATATCTGCTGACTGCTTATCCCTTCCGTAGAGTAGCAGCTGGAACTGCTGAAACACGGAAGCCAGAGAGAGTATTAAGCAAGCTGTAAACTCCAGGGTCTGTGCCTGGCATGCTGACTGTAAGGTCTTTGGGGCAGGGACCTTGTCACTGTTTCATGTCCTCTAAAATGCTACATGTCGTACGGATGCTGAAAGTGCGTTTTGAACATTGCTCAGTGATTGGAAAGGACATGCTTTAATCTTGGAACTGCAGCGCTGGAAGGAGCCCAACGAATCATCATGTCCAGCCCTTGCCAGCAAATCCCCGTGGGGGGAATCAAACTCCCAACCTCTGGTTCTTCAGCCAGATGCCTAAACCACTGAGCTATCCAACCAACATGTCTCTAGCAAAAGGTATAAAAGACACACTACAGTAAGAAAGGGGGAAAATGTTTGCTGGGCAGAAGTCATCATGTTCTTCAGCCGACGGACATCTGAGTCAGAGAGAAGACCAGGAGTCAAATTTGTGATTTAAAAGACACTCACAGAGAGTCAGTGTGATGCAGGGGCTCAGATGATCCAGGTTGCAGCCCCCTTTTGCCCCATGAATGCCATCTTCATCTCTTTGTAGGAAATGATGGCATGTAAATATGAATAAAAAGGTGCATTTTAATTTTATGGTGCAAGATAAAGAACAGATTTTCAGAAAGCATTTTGAACTGCTAAATGAAAGCTGTCAGACAAGTTTTCCGTCAGGAAACAGGCAGCTTTTCCTGCTGTAGCGAAGCCCCACCGTCCTTGCCCCACGGCAGGCTCTGAAACCCAGGATTCGGGAGCCCCCAAGTTCCAAAGCCTTACTCACGGAAAACAAAATACGCTACAGTTAGAAGCAGTGCCACAATCACGACCAAGCACGTGATAATCCAGATAAAGCTGCTTAGAGGGACACTTTCAGTTTTGACGGTTACAGGATTCTTCGTAGTAACTATAAAAGTTGTAGCAATCGTTGGAGAAGTTGTGGTGGTCTTTGTAGGATCTGAAACAGAAAAGTAGGTTTTTAAGCCAGGCCATAAGATGAGCTTAATGCCCACTCTTGCCTCTTTTCAGAATTTCAGGAACCACTGCTTTATCTGGAAAACCCTGGAAAGAGGCTCAATAAGTCAGAACTGACCTTGCGGCACATTATTCTTATTATTAGCCGAATATATCAGGGCAAGTCAAGGAGAAGTATTGAGATAAGCTGATAAAGCGGCATTATTTAAGACCTAAGAAACAAAGGGGGGGCTGTCAAAAAGAGAAGGTGATGAGAATAAAGCACCCCAAGGCCAATACTGTACCTTAAAAACATCCAGGGAAAAACTGACCGTAGAAGAAGGTGCGTTTTATTTTTCCAAAGATAGAAACTGAAAGGCTGATCCATGCAGCACTGGAGAAAGTACTCTGTGCCAGTGCAGTTAAAACCCAGACTGATAAATCATATAATGACAGTAGATGTTGGTGGCATTAAAAAGTAGAAGAAACAGTTTACCACCTTCTCTGTGGTTACAAGAAGCATCTACAAACAGTTTCTTTGGAAACCCGCAATACAGCTGTAGCGATGGTCCTTTGGATTACTATCTGTAAGAAACATAATAGTGTATACCAGTGCCCGAAAAATAGTCGGACCACAGAAACTTAAAAAAAAAACTGGTTGAAAATGAGGAAGTCAAAATGTTGTGGGACCTCTGGATTCAAACTGATAGTCCTCTGGTTCGTGACACCCTTGATTTGATCATTGTCAAAAGGAAGTGGGTCTGGACAGGATGTGTGGCAATCTCTGGGGCTGCTAGAATCAAAAAGAAGGAATTTGAACAGACTACCAAATAGAAAAACGTTGAATTTGTAATCAAGGAATTGTGGGGAAAGAAAAATAAATTAGTTACAGCTGTCACTAGTCCTTTGGATGCTTGACCTTGGAAATCATCTTTGTCCTTTAGGCATATATGAGATCACAACACACCAGCGGCAGAAAAAGGCTGTGTTCCTTCGATCAGCCCATATTTTATGAACCAGTATCCATGGAATGAAAACCAGCCAACATTTGGTGGGTGGCATGTAATGGGCATCCTCCTCATCCTCAATGTGAGACATGTGGGTCCAGGTGTTTGCAAGGGCCCAGGGAGGAAAAACCAACTCAGAGGGGTGGATTCACTCCTCCATTTGCCTGGACAGAGAAATAACCGGGTGCAAATGTTGTCATTTGGGTAGCCATGGTTAGAGTTGCAAGGAAATGCTCGGAACTCTGTATCTGATGATCAACAGAAAAAACTGGCTTTAGGAGAATAAATAAATCAAGAGAAGAAAAACAGCTGTGGCTGCTTGATTGGGTTTCGAGATGCTGAGAGATGGCTCTGGGGTTCATTGCAAGCAAAGCTGGGACTTCAAAACTAAGCTACATCCTTTCCTAGAGATCACATAGAAAGGGTCCCGGTAACAAGAGATGGCAATAATTCTCCTCCACCCAAATGGCCCTGAGCAGCTGGTGACAAGCAAAAGCCCCCCAAATTGGCATGCAGATGCAAAAACCCGACCCACCACGTGGTTCTTTGCATTTTGAACCTGTGAAACATACCTATGACTTCCAGATGTGCTGTCCCGGCTTCTGCAACATTATCATCTATTACCACTTTATAAACTCCAGAGTCTTTTAACTGGAGGTGCGTGATCAAAAGCGAGCAGCTTGGAATCAGCTCCTCCCGCCCAGTATAGGCAGGTCCTTTGCTCTGTTGGAAATCTGAAGCTCCCTTAGCAAACACATTGCGTTGCTGAGAAATAATGACACTATTTGCATCAAGTCTCTCTCTGTACCAACTGCATTGAGAAACATCAGTGTGGCCAGGAAACTGAGCGTTTTCTGGCGTGAGGGTGACGCTTTGCCCTTGGTTCGGTTTTGCTGGTTCCACTTTGACTTTCCACATTGACTGAGCATGACTCAACGGGCAGCATGAACTCAGGATGGCGGCTGTAATGTGGAGAAAAAGAGAGGGGTCAGCATGCCGGGCTAACCACTGCTTAGGCAAAAATAAGCTCTAAAAATCGAAGGGTGATGTTGATGATACACCTCCAGAATCTCCTCCTTACACCTTGTTACTCTCCCAAAAAGTGTGGCAGTAGATGTGCAATGGCCAGATCATCTCACACCATGGTCCACATCCGGTAGGACTTCTCCGTGTGGAATGGGACTTGCCTGTGCACCCACTACACCACTAGTTGTGCGATCGCATGCACAACCTGCCAGGCACTCCTTGCAGAACTGATCCTGTGCGATGATGGGCATTCTGCTGAATGGCGACGATAACATGCACGATTGGAATTCGGCACCCGGTCAGTTCAAAAGGATGCTGGCTGAGAACAAGAGCTACCAAGCAATGCTCGCATTCGTTGATACAGGGGGTGTCCCAAACAAAAACCTATAACTCTGAAACTGGACCTCAGCTTAAGCAGGAAGCTCCCAATCTTAATGATATCTCCGGCAACATAGCCATCTTTCAGCCCAGCGAGATAACACCAGCAGAACCAGGAGCAGGAGACAACGGTGGATGCTTAAATTCTACAGTGCCGTGGAATTGTGTATTTCAGATCTCCAGCAAATTTACAGCTTCTCAGCCTTTCTTAGACAAGGGAGCTTGAAGTAGTTAATCAACCTGAAGTAGCTAATCTGCCGCTTATTAAGAAATCTTTAGGCAATCTGTTTCCTCGCTGGAGCTTCTCTGTTAGAGTCTCTGTCCTGTCCTGTCCTGTCTGCTAAAGGAAAACTTCTGCCCAAGAAGTTTACTGTATGGACATCGACTTCAAATGAGAAGTACCAGCTTCCCTGGTATATATCACCTTGTACCATATATATATACATATAGACCATGCCTTCTGTGGAGAACAAAACTGCGTGGGAAGTCATGGGGAAAGGACACTGTACTAAGCAGAACAAGAGGCATGCCGTATGGATGGTGGGGGAAATGCTGACACCCGATTTCAGAACCTGATAGTTTAAAGAGAACAAACACTCCAGATCCATTGGTTAAAGAGCGTGCGTGGATTATGAGAATAACATCATTAGGAGAGCTAGAACTAGTTATATAGAAACAAGCAGGAATTAGTGCCGTCACCTCTGAAAAGATAAAAGTCCTCTTTCTAAGAATCAGTGGGGTAAGGGGGAAATCTGGAAGTACAGAGGCTCGTCAGGGCAGTCCCCATAGCCCAGCCCCAAGGAGAATCCAAAATAAGCAGACAGCTGCATGGATCCCCATTAGCACAGCAGTTCAATCCCTTTTCCTAGAGCAGGACTTTTGTAGAGCTAATGGGTCTCAATGCCCAAGCCTCGAAATTTTAGCCATTTGACCCAGGATTGCTCATAACAAGGCACTGGCCCTTTCCTCTTCTACTATTCGATGATTGAGGTTAAGATGTGGGGAGGGGAGCCCATCTCATGCTCTCTCCTGATCACAGAGTCCTAGCGCCTTGACTGCGCCAAGCCTGCCCCCTTTGACCATGAAGGAAAGCGTGAGTGGCTATGGGCTCTAAGATGTCTCCAGGTTTTGACCAGGGGCGAGCCCTACCCCGTCCCTCCTCCCCCCCCTGCAGGGCCCGATCCCGCTTACCTGCCAGGAGCGCGCCTAGCCAAGAGGTCTTCCTCGCCAGGGGAAACCCCGGGTGGCTTAGGCGCTGGTCCTCCGGATTCCTCCCCATGGCGGGCTGTGATTGATGGGGGGGGGGGAGCGGCTCTGGTCCTACCAGCCTGGAAAAGGGGGCAGAGCGCCCCCAGCCGCAGCTCGCACCAAATGCAGAAGGAAGCAATGGGGCCAGTGAACCTGCGGGCGCTCCGGAATCGAAGTGGGGCGAGGCGAGACCGCCCGAGGCTCTGTTTCCCCCACGGAGGGGGTAAAGCAGAAGCGCATTTATAGGGGTTAGTAGGGGAGGGACGGACGGAGGCGGACAGACAGACAGACGGGGAGTGTCTTGCGCGACCGCCTTGAATCATGCGTTAATTTCACGGTATTTGGATCACCATCGCGCTTCGCTCTCCTGCAGGGACTCGAGGCGGCTTACAAAAAAAACCCCTAACCTTTAAAACCGCAGAGATGTAAGGGATGCTTTTAAAATTAAAAACATAATAATAATTAGAACGCCCGGCAAGAACCTGGGAGCTGGTAACCGCTCTCTAGATCCTATTTTATGAGCAATATGATGAAGTGCAGATTTATTTTTATTTGTGGTTTATCCAAGCCTTGTCCTGGACGTCTAGATGCCTCTGGGTCTCTCTTTTAATAATAAAAACCGTGATCATAGCAATTGCCTTGCTTGACCCTGAGATTAGGCAACGAAATTCTTTTCAGAAGGAAATGGAAAGTAACGATCGGATTCGTGGGAGTTTAGGTTGCCTTTCCGTTTCTAGTATGTGCGACGCAGTACCAGAAAGGAAGGGGATTGTGATTATGGGTGAGATACACAGCTCCGTGGTTGAGGCATCTGCCAGAGGTTGGGAGTTCGATTCCCCCATTGAGGCTCCTTGAGAGGGACTTGATAATCCATAGGGTCCCTTCCAGCTGTAAGATGATGATGGTGAAATGGTGGTGGCAATGCTGCCGGATGAGATCATGTGTCACTGAGGTGGGAAATTGCAATGAAAGATAAAGAGTCTTATCGCTGATTTCCTCTGAAATCGTTGTCAAAACAGTTTTAAGAAACCGGAAGCCGTGATTCAACCACATTTTAAGATGCTCCTTGCAAAAGCAGGAGGCTCTATGCATTTCAAAATAGAAGTGTACACTCTGCAATATCCTGGAAGAAAAACGAATCTATATTTTGCTTTCTGAGCAGTACAATAAATAGCAGGTTTTCGAAAGTTAATTACTCCAATTTAATCTATATATTATATTATATTACATTATATATTATAGGTTGATGCATTCATTGCCCTGGGCATCTGGATGCTACTTGTTCTCTTTAACAATTTTTTTAGTGGCAATTTATGGAGAAGTCATGTAGCCTAAGGTGGAGAAAGTTCTCTCTCTCTCTCTCTCTCTCTCTCTCTCTCTCTCTCTCTCTCTGTCTGTCTGTCTGTCTGTCTGTCTATCTATCTATCTATGTAGCTATCTAGCTATCTATCTATCGGACAGAAATGCCAGTTAACTATTTGGCCCAAAAGGTTTCTCTTTGGGAGGGCAGCTCCCTGGGAGGAGGGGGGAGAGAGAGGGAGAGGGATGGAGGGGTTGGGAGGGAGGGGGAGAGAGAGAGAGAGAGAGAGAGAGAGGTTCACATCAGCACCAAGGACAGCTCCCTGAAGCTTGTATCTATCAAAGAAGGGAATGAGACATGAAGAAACTCAGGTGTCCAGAGGCCAGAAGCTCGCATTGGCCGAAGGCCCATTTCATAAAAGATACCCTTTCCACATCTGGACAGGTGCATATGGTTCCCTCATTTGGCTCACCGTGTTCCAGGCTCTCTAATCCTTGCAAGTGGAAAACAGATCAAAGGGGTGTTGGATCTGCTTCACACTTTAAACCAGGCATGTCCAACCTTGGGCCTCCAGATGTTCTTGGACTTCAACTCGAACAGGTCAAAGGGGTGGTGGATCTGCTTCAGACTTTAGACTGAACTTGAACAGTTCTGTTTGAGTCGCTGACTCCGTGACAAAGGCTGGGCTTCAGCATCTTGGATATTTGGTCCGAACTTTCAAGGAGCTGTCCGTAGTGCTGGAACTCCCTTAGAGTTGGAGTGCGGCATCTTCGATAAGGGCTTTAAACTTGTGATGGATATCCAGAGCAGATTCACCACACTGACACTGGAGCTGCTATTTCTGCACTGCTCTCTGTTACTTCTTCTTTGCTATCAGCACTCAAACAGATGCATAGGTTTATTTATATATCCAGTAAAGAGGGACAAAGAATAGGAGTAGCATGTCTCTCCTATGTTTTGAATGCATACTTAGAAGCATAGATATATGTGGGGGGCAGAGGGAGGCAAATTGGAGGTTTGCACCCCATAATCTTCCATTCATTTCTCTCTTTTTTTTAAAAAAAAATGTATACAAACTGCAGTGCATGCTGTGTGTGAATGAGGCTAGCATTCCTGCATGAATTATGCTATGCAGCTTCTCTTTCCCCTGGGAAAAATCCTGCAGACATTCATGCTTAAAGTTGTGCAGAAAGCTCTACTTCATCAGTGTGACTGGAAAACAGAACTGAGAAAAAAAAATACCAATTTCTGTTTAAAGTAAAAGGATGAGGATTTGTGAATGTGCTCATGCCTCTAATTCATGTCAGTATTCTGAATCTGGAAACCCACTACTGTACATGAAACGCACCTTGATCTCCTCCAGTATGTACTGCAAAAAATTGATTAGACAAAAACTGATGGATTAGATAATTAAATCGGTGTTTTACTTGAGAATAATTTTTTTAATTAGCTGGCTAGATAGCTCAATAGTTTGGGTATCTGGCTGCAGAACCAGAAGTTGTGAGTTTGATTCCCCCCACTGCGCCTCCTTCCAGTAGAACGAGCCCGGGTAGCCTTGGGAAAGCTGCATAGTCCCAGGGCGCTTCCTGCAAGTAGAACCAGCCTGGGTAGCCTTGGGAAAGCTGCACAGTCCCAAGGCACCCCCTAGAGGAAGAGAATGGGAAACCACTTCTGAGTATTCTCTACCTAGAAAACCTGAAAAGAGGTCAGAATTGCTATACGTCAGAATTGACTTGGCAACATGTGATTATTGAAAAGGCTTGCTATAAGTCAGAATTGACTTGGCAACATGTGATTATTATTTTTTTATGTTCTGAATTATACTTAGTGACACACGGTCTTATAATGTTTTGCTAGACCCATCTCTTGAAGTTGGTCTGTTTGTTCTTCTACTCAGAAGACAAGATGGGCAAATTACGTTGGCTTTATGTATGAAATTGTCAGAAGACACTGAACCAGTAATTTATCTAATTTCTTTTATTACATTTCAAAACTATATTTCCATTGGAAAAAAGAGAATGTTCATTGTGGCTAGCTAAATGATTCAAAACAAATTAAAGAACAACAACAACCATTACTAAAAACAAATTAGACAATAAAAACAATCAAATTCACCATCAATAAAGAACAGGTTGTAGTCCAAAAATTAACTCTTCTAGACTCGGTCTCATCGTAATGTGGAATGTAAAGCTTCTTCTAGAGTCAGATTCTGCTCTCTTGATTATGGTAGATATAATTTCATGGATAGCTTTACGGCCTTTCCAGGCGAAGGGTGTCACACGTGTTTCGATATATCCATGTATTTGCCATTATGCTTCAGATCCTAGCTCTCTTGTCTAGAAGGCGGGATATAGAGTTTCTAAAAAGTTGGGTTTCACTGGAAGATGCATGGGAGGAAAGAAGGTGCTTGTCCTTATTCAAGGGAGGCTCAAAGGAACGGATTCTCCTTTGGGAAGGAAAACAAAGTTTGTCGGTAAAATAAAGGGCACAGCAGCAGATGGGAGGGTGGAAGGCTCTTCAATTCTCATTTTATCTCTTGATACACAGCTTGGTCTCTGAATTGTAGTGTCTGGAGTGGGGAGAAAAGGGAGATAAATCAGGAGGGAACAACCGAGACAAAGTAACTTTGGAATCTTTTTATTTTCTTTTTCAGTAATTTTAAGGGCAAGACTGAAATTTGATTTTTGCAAAAGGAATCCATGGAAATGTTTGCAATATGCATCACTTAATGGCAACTGGAAGATTTGGTGGCCTTTTGCATGGGATTTTTGTTTATATTTTGTGATGGTGGCAGTGATAATGACTGTGATGATTCTAATGCAGCGGTTTCCAACCTTGGGCCTCCAGATGTTCTTGAACTCCCAGAAATCCTGGCCAGCACAGCTAGGAATGAAGGCTTCTGGGGGTTGTAGTCTAAGAACATCTGGACACCAAGGTTGGGAACCACTGTTCTAATGGCTTCAACACTTTATCTGTTTCTTATTATGTTTCACAGCTACCTTCCAAGTTTTTTTTTCCTCTCTCTCTTTTAGTGGAAGGTGGGCATTAAATTCAATAATCAAATAATCTTACACACTACTCATTTCTCTTATCTGTTCTACTTGTATGGTTTCCCCCTTGCTCCCCTTTTTCTTTCACTTTCTTCTTCCTTTCCCTTTTTCTCTCCTCAATTTCCTTTTTTACTTTTGACTCTCCTCCCCTTGACAGTAGGATTCTGGGTTTTGTGGTCTGAATATCATCCATTGTAATTGCAAGGAGATCAAAAGATAGCTAAAAGATGTATTAGGTTGTTCTTGATAGATAGCTATCTTGATATGAAACAGAAGGAATTATTCTGTTTTTCAGATTTTTTTTTATATAAAGGGAAGTGTTGTTGCTGTTGTTTTCAATCTCCTAATGAGGACAAGTTTAAGACTGGCATTTTTTTATTGTGCCCGAGAGCAAACCAGAAATCAATATTGATCTTAGAGTATTGGTGAACTATAATCTCTCACATTTTGACCCCACCAGTTTCCACATAACTGGGGTTACAGAAGGTGGTTCCACACTGACCTCATATGTTTGGCTGGTCCCAGAAGAGCTTTCGGGGTTCGCCTGCATGAAACACAAAAAGATACTGAAGATCATCTCTTGATTATGTGCTGTTATGAGCATCAGCAACTGTTAAATCTCTGGTGCAGTGCTGAATTTTCAATGCTGTGCGTATACAACTGTAATAGATTTTTTGAAAGTGTGAGATCAGCTTGCCTGGAGCAGTTTCTTGGATTTAAGACAAGTCAAAGTTTAGAGGCTGTATGAATAACACCTGATACAGAGAGATGAAAAAAAAACCTTGACACCTACTGCTGGTTCCAAGCAGTTTCTTGGACTTAAGACAAGTCAAAGTTTAGAGGCTCTATGAATAACACCTGATACCTAGAGATGAAAAAAACCTTGACACCTACTGCTGGTTCCTATCCTATTGCCTGTCATTACATAATTCTCCCCATTCTTCAGGATTTGGCTCACCTAAGCTCCCCTGTTGTCATGAGTTCAGCTGAAGAAGATCTGGAACCTGGGGGGTTAATTACAGCTGAGGGAAATGCAGGGCAATTAGAAGCACAGACAGCTGAATCACCACCAGATTCTCCTCCCCCAGTAGCCTGGGTGAGGGCTAAGCTTCAGCAAAGACTCATGACATGAAGGGCAGAAGATCGCATGAATGCTTCCCATAGGAACATCAGGTCGACCAGCCCTGAGTTGTAGCAGGATGAAGTGTTTAGATGACTGTTGCAGCTGTAAAATCTGCACCCAGAGGCTTGGAAGCTTGTGGAAGCAAGAAGTTGACACTCTGGCTTGTATCCATGCTCCTCCTCATCCTGGACCTTGTTCTCTGGACCCTTGGCTTTGGACTCTGATTGCTGACTATGGTTTGTGTTTTGGCTTTGGCATTTTGGTATCTGCTTTGCATCTTCTGGACTTCTGATATTGGACTGGTATATTGGACTGTCGCCTGTTGAAACCCCCCTGGGAATGTGAGACCTAGTGTTCTGCTCTCTGTGAAAATAATGGGCTGTTGAAACTGCTAAGATTACTCACCCCAGTCCTTACTGGTCCAGAAGGGAGGATGTTCTCGTAGAGATTAGGAGCAATTATGACCGGTGAATCTGTCTTCACATTTTGATGACGGCCACCTATAAAGGTGAGGAACTTGGAGGTGAATCTTAACAGAAAGCCCAACCCTATGCTGTGCATCTGTTCTCCCTAGTCGGCTGCCCCAGACCTTCCAGAGAAGCTCTTCTGCCCTATACGGCTAGCACTCTGGGTGGATCTCCCAAACGGGCTGTACTACAAGCCACCCATCATCTCCTGAGAGCACTATTGGTGGCTCTGAGGGATGGGGATGATGGGAGGGTTTCGTCCTTCAGATCTGGAAAATGGCAATGTCAGGATCTGGCCCGTACTGCCCTGGGAGATGCAGGATCAGGGCCAACCTGAGCCAGGAGAGTGGCCTGGTGTTTGCAGGATCAGGCCCTTGCCTGTGGATCAGCTGCTGGGCCACTCATGAGGCTCACCTGGAAACCTGGAGGGAAGGC